CCCGGGAAGGGGCGGCTGGTCCGGCGGGGTCCCGAGGAGCGCCCCAGCCCCGGGGAAAGCGGTGAGCGCGTCCCTGCCCCGGGAGATCCCTGCGTGGGGCAGGGGGGGCTGCCCTGGCTGTGCTGACGGGACCCCTCTGCCCCTCAGACCCTGCGAGCCCCCCTCCACCGCCCTGCCCCGAGGGCTTCTACTTCTCGGCGCTCCCCGAGGCTGAGCATCAGGACCCTGCTGTCCCCCCAAGCCTGTGAGTGTGAGGGGGGTCCCCATAACCCCCCAATATGTGTGTGGGGGGTCCAACAGCCCCCCCAGCACCGCTGACCCCTCTGCCTTCCCCCTCCAGGCCGAGCTCGGGGGCGCTGACCCCTGGGATGGACGGTCCCCGGAAGATCCGGAGCAAGTTGCAGCACACCCTGGTCCTGGAGCTGGTGAGCTGCGGTGGGCTGGGGGGGCTCTGCAGCGCCTGGGGCTGGGGGCTCACCCCGTTCCCTGTCCCCAGGATGGGACCCTGCTCTACTCCTCCCTGCTCGCCCGGGGGCAGCAGGATGCCACGGCCACCTTCACCATGAACTTCCAGGCCAGTTCCTACAAGGTGGGTGCCTCGGGGCTGGGACAGTGGGTGTTGGGGAGCTGTGCTTTGGGGCTGTGGCTCTCGACTGCCGCCCCACGTGGCCTCTGTGCCCGTGTCCCTTGAAGGGGAAGGGGCTGAAATCCGGGTGGTGAGGATGATGAGGGATCCCGCTGAGGGCACCGACCCCTCCTCGGGGCTCACCTTGGTGTCAGGAGCGGGGTGCTGGTGCTTTTCCAAGATGCTGTTCCCTCCCAGGTCCACGTGAAGCTGCGTCCGCACGTGCAGGAGTTCTTGGAGAGCCTTTCCAAGACCTATGAGGTACCCAGAGCCCCCGGGATCTGTGGGGTGACCCCGGGGACGTCCCACGCAGGGAACCTTCACCCTCTCTCTGCCAGATCTTCATCTACACCACCGCCAAGAAGGACTATGCCAAGAAGCTGCTGGAGGTGCTGGACCCCAAGAAGCTGATCAGGTGATGGTGCTGCCCCGCTGGGGACCTCCTGTGTGACAGGGTGGGGTCCCCACGGCTCTGTCTCCCCGCCAGGTGCTGCCTCTCCCAGTCGGATTGTGTCTGCTCCCAGGGCTGCTACTGGAAGGACCTGACCCACCTGGGCAGGGACCTGGCCAAGACGGTGGCCCTGGACCACGCCATGCAGGGCTTCCCTGCCCAGGTAGGGTAGAGCCGCTCCCAGAGGGAATTTGCGCGTCCCCGTCCCCGGGAGCGCCGTGGCTGTGCCGGATCCAACCTTCTCCCTGTCCCCTCCAGGCTGCCAACTGGATCCCGGTGCCACCGTGGTCTGGGGACCTTCAGGACGAGGAGCTGCTGCGCCTCATCCCGGTGCTGGAGCAGCTGGGCCAGGCGGTAGGAGATGTGGGGATGGGGACAGGAAGGGGACAGGGGCTCTGGGCACTCCCCTACCCCTCCTCTCCCTGCGCAGGAGGACGTGCGCCCCGAGATCCAGCGGCGATTCCCGCCCCAACAGCTGCCTGCGTGAGGATGAGCCTGGAGCAGCTCTGGGAGAGGCCGTGGGGAAGCTGTGGATGCTCAGGGACATCCAGCACCTCATCCCATGGAGCTGGGCTGGCTGTGCCAGGAGCCTCCCTTGGTGTTTGCAGGGATCCCAGCTCATCCCTGGGGGTGTCCCCAAGGAGAGCCCCTGCCTTTGGACACAGAGCTCCGTCCTGGCTCCCTCCTCTCCCTGCTCTGTAAGGTCCAGCCAAGGCTTTCACGGTCATTATAAGCTTGGAGAAAAGTCTGGCTCTGTCTTAATTCCCGAAACTCTTCAGCTGAGCAAACATGCAGTGCTGGGGACGGCACGGCCGGGGAAGGGGGGGACACAAACCACATCCCCGGTGTGTGGGGCAGCCCAGGGCCCTGGCACGGGGCCGGTGCTCCCGGGAGGGCCCCAGCTGGCAGCTGTCCCTGTCCCATGCCTGCCCCGTGCCGTGGGTGCCACGTGCTGGGGCACAGCTGCCACACGTCGGACAGAGCGACCAGGGGTGCAGCCACCCTGAGACCCCTTTTTTACAGCCTGAAGCTGCTGGTGACCGGGAATTGGGGACTTTGGAGGGGGTCTGGGCTGGCCTCTGCTGCCTCATGGGCTCGTGGCCGAGCTCCTGCTGTGACCACACGGGTGCAGCTGTTTGGAGACACGTCACAGCTCACCCTTCTGAGCCTGGGAAAGGACACAAGGGCTCCTGGCCCCTCTGGGAATGTCTCTGTCCCCAGGGGTGTGGGAGGAGCACCCACCCCTGTCCCCTCGCACAGCTGGACACGGGGTGGAACCATCCCGGGCGCTGCTGGGAGGGGGAATCACCCTTGGAGAGGGCAGCTGGAAAAGCAACAATGCTTTATTTCAGAAGCCAGGCACGATCTCAGCTCTGTCCTGGGCTGTCCCTGCAGCCCAGGCTGCTGTCACTCTGCCCTCCCGGCCTGGGCACAGCACGGAGCCCCTTTGCCAGCGCAAAGCACCGTGCGGTACGTGGGGTACAGCACCCCTGCCAGCACCAGGCTGCTGCAGGCCAGGACGGTGACAACCACGAGGTCCCTGCGCAGCCCCACGGGGCCGGGGGAGCTCTCCTCGGGCTGCTGGCAGGTGTGGGTAACGTCGTGGAAGGTGCGGCCGGAGGGACAGGAGGTGCAGTTGTTGGCAGAGGAGCCCTGGCAGGTGTAGCAGGACGGGTGGCAGCTGGCACAGATGCGGGCGGTGTCCCTGGGGGTGGCACTCCGGGCTTGCCCGTAGTAGCGTGGGGGGCAGTAGGGCAGGCAGGAGCCGTGGTGGGTGTACAGGGCGCTGCCACAGTCTGTGGGGAGAGGCTGGGGTGAGATACTGGGGACTCTGAGCATTGTCACTGTCCCCCCCCAAAGCCTCGCTCACCCTCGCAGGCTCCCTGCTCGTCCCTCCTGAGACACTCGTCGGTGGCGGTGGCCGCGGAGCGCCTGGCTGGCATGTCCTCATCCGTGCCGTGCAGGTGCAGGGTGAAGCTGGTCAGCTGGCCTGGGGACAGCAGGGACAGGGGGCTGCCAGATGAGGGCTATGGGGCTGGAAGCTTTGGGGTTGTGCTCTGCTCCTGGCCGTGTGCTGGCCAAGCAGACTCCCAAAGCACGGGCTCCTGTGGAAAAGGGCTCGTGGCCAGGAAGGAGAGGCCAAGAAATTTCCCATTCAAGTGGGAGAAGGAAGAGTGGCCAAGCACAGAGTGACCCCAGTAAAAATGGGGCTCACCCCCCATGGGGCACCCACCTGTGTTCTGGTTATCGCCCCTGTTCTCCAGCTGGAGGGTCCAGATCCCCTTGGGGTTCTCATCCCAGAAGTGGGTGGACATGAAGCTCCAGTCCTTGTAGCCATCCTGGCTGGTGTCGTAGGGGCTGGAGGAGGAGAGCAGAGCTGGGAATGCCAGCCCAGGGGCCTGGAGGGGCAGGGTGTGACCTGAAGGGTCACCCTGTTCCTGCCCTGAGGGGACACGCCTGCATGGCAGGGGTCCAGAGGGGTTTTGGGTGCAGTGAGCCCCTTTTTGGGACTCTCCAGGCCGTGGGAGCCACGGTGCTCCCCTGTCCTTACCGCACTGTCACCAGCGTGGACGTAGTCCCCATGGGGCTGCTCAGAGCCACCACCAGGTCCCCCCTGCGGCTGTAGCTCAGCGACAGCTGGACCTGGACGTGCTCCAGGGAGCGGATGCTCTCGGAGCAGGAGGAGGCATCCGTGGAGATGGTGAGCCTGGAGCCGATGTCCCTGTCCAGGACAAGCTGTGGGTGAGGGCATTCCCTGATGGGGCTGGGAGGCTGGAGCTGGGCTCGCTGTCCCTTACCTGGGGACCTGAACGGCCTGGACTGAGCACTTCTCCTGAGGCCGAGTCCCTGTCCACGTGGTGGCCGCCTGCACCAGCAGCCCCGCGTCCAGCAGCCCGTAGCCGTAGTAGTGGCTCACTGGGACACAGGTGGCACCCAAGAGAGGGACCCGTGAGCCCCTGGGTGCCACCAGGGGGCTGCTGGCAGGTGTCCCAGGGGCTGAGCCCTGCACTCACCCCTGCGCCCCACGCCGTTCTCGGCCCAGTCCTCTGCCTGCAGGTGAGCGGGTTTGGAGGCCCTGACGATGAGGTGCTGCAGGTCACGCCACGTCAGGGCTGGGCTGGAAGCAAGGAGGACATGGGGACAGAGGTCTGGGTTGGTTTTTAAGGGGGAAATTTGGATCTTCTGGGCCCAAGCTGATCCCCCCAGTGATCTTCTTCAGTGCTAAAATGGGGGCAAAGAGCTCCAGAGGACAATCCTCCCCCTCTGCCGTGGCCCTGGGGGAAGGCCACGACTCTGCACCCCAACCTTCCTGCTGTCCCTCCCCTTCTTCATCCCTGCTTGGGCACCAGCTCTCCCTGGCAGTGTCCCTCTGTCTCGGTGTCACCTACTTGGCTTCCAGTGCCAGGGCCACCATCCCTGCGGCCAGCGGGGCCGAGGCGGAGGTGCCGGTGTGTTTGTCTGTGCAGCGGTGGTGCAGGTCAGTGGTCACCTGCGGGGACAGGGGGTGCTCTCAGCACTGTTCCCAAGAAATCTGCCCGGAGCTGGGGTACCTTCAGCAAATTCTCCTTTTGGAGACACCGTGCTGGGATCTGCCCCGGAGCTCTTGTGACACTCACAATCTGCACCTTGCTGGTGGTCCTGCTGCTGTAGGTGGTGGTGAGGATGGCGGGGCAGCTCTCGCTGTAGCGGGGCCGCTGCCCGTCCCCCAGGACGCTGCCCACCGACACCGTGTAGATGCTGTTGGTGTAGCCATCGCAGTTGCAGTTGTCGTAGTTGGTGCCACCGTTGCCTGAGGCCCAGATAAAGATGGAGCCGAGCCCGCCCCGTCCCTGTTGAGGAGCAGAGCGGGGTGAGCACGGTGTCCTCACGTCCCTGTGCTCCCCGAGGTCGGGGCTGGGCGTACTTGGACCACCCCTCTCTGGAAAGCGGCCGCAGCCAGGACTCCCGGCCCGTCCACCGTCCTGCCGTCGTCCTCGGGGCCCCAGCTGGCGCTGTAGATGTGGATGTACTGCAGCTGCAGGCCCAGGGCCTGAGCCTCCACGATGTCGGTGATGGAGCCGTCCAGCATGCGCACACCTGAGGGCAGGACCCGCTGCAGCACCGGGAGAGGCCGCGGTGGCCGCGAGGGGACGGGAGCCAGGCAGGTGCCACCCCGAGGGAAGGACCTGGGGACACCTTGCCAGGACCCCCTCAGCTTCCAGCAGCTTTCACATGACCCTGCCCTAAGGAGATCAGGCCCCCCATGCCACTGCCATGAGCTGCTTCCCAAAGCTCCTCATTAAGCCTTTTGTAATTAAGCCCAGGGAGTGCTCCCGGCTTTTAAACCCCTTTGCCAGCCTCACATCCCACGGCAGAACCTGAGCCTGCCCTGCTGGGTGTTGGGCTGAGCACTGAACCCCGGGCTGGGGTAACACTGCAGCACCCTGGGCACCCCCGTGAGCCCCAGAGCAGCCAGCCCTGGCCATTCCAGGGGGCTGGAGCTGATTTCCAACTCCCCTCCCGCGGGAGCAATGTCTCACCTCCGATTTTGGAGTTGTAGGCGACGCCTGCGCCACAGACCCCGTTGTTTGCCACAGCTGCCACTTCCCCTGCACAGCGTGTCCCATGCCTGGGGGGTATGTGACCCTGTGAGGGGTGGGGGGCCTGGGACAGCCCCGGCCCCCCAGAGATGAACCCCCCCCAGTGTGGGGAGCTGGGCAGAACCCACCAGTTCTTGTCCCCCTCTCCGTATCGGGGTTGGGGATCGGGGTCGTTGCTGTTAAAGTCGTAACTTGCCAGCGGGTCCTGTTACAGAGCGAGGCAGCGGCGTGGGCCAAAGGGCCTGGGCAGGGCTGTGACAGCTCGGCACAGGCGCCTGGCACTGCGCCCGGTGCTGGCACCGCCGAGGGCCAGCCCAGGGGGACAGCGGGGCCCCTTCGTGCCCAGCTGCACCCTGAGAGGGAAGGGAGCAGCAGCAGGGGCTGAGGGAGATGGGAAGGGGCTCAGCCTGGAGAAAAAGAGGAGCAGGGGGGACCTTCTGGCTCTGCACGACTCCGTGACAGGAGGGGACAGCCGGGGAGTGTCGGGCTGTGCTCCCAGGGACAACAGGGAACAGCCTCAAGCTGTGCCAGGTGGGAAAGCAGCAGGAATTTCCCCATGGAAAGGGCGGTCAGGCCTTGGCAGGGGCTGCCCAGGGAGGTTTGGAGTCGCCATCCTTGGAGGTGGCTCCGGGCTGGGGACAAGGTGGGCATCGGGCACAGCTTGGACTCGAGCCTGAAGCCCTTTTCCAGCCTCAGTGACTCTTGGGTTCTGCAGAAAGGGGTGAAAGCAGCACAACGTGGCTGCTTCCCTGCCAGAGCCCAGCGTGCCGAGCCACCTGAGGGCGACCCTGGCTGGCCACACAGCCCGCGGTGAGGAACCACAACCCACGGAAACAGCGCTGCTCCAAACACCCAGGACTGCCTTTCCTTCCCTGAGGAGCACAGGAGGGTTTACCAGCTTTACTGGCTTTGCAGCTTGCTGTAATTACAGCTATTCTGGGGGCTCTGGTGTGTGTACAAGT